ATCGACTCCCAGGTGATGGGGTTGCTTTTCCCACTTTTTCAGGTTTGTCTTAAGACTATCCTTATACCTTTTCAGTTGCCCGCCGGCGTTACGTTTACTATTCGTTAGGTGACTGTAAAGTAGCTGCTTTGGCGGTCTACTGTCGTCCATGCGGGTAACATGGCCAGTCCAACGTAGCTGTTCATGGATAATGGTAGCCTCGATGCTCCTACAGTTGTCAGCCAGAATACTGGCATTTGTTCTCTTGTCTTCCCAGCAAACTCGGAGGATGGAACGTAGACCACGTTGGTGAAAGTTTTCAAGTGCCTTGAGGTGCCTCCTGTATGTGACCCATGTCTCACTGCCATATAGCAGGGTGGAGAGGACCACTGCTCCATATACATGCAGCTTCCTACAGATTGAATATCACGGTTGCGGAGTCTGCCAGAGGTGCGCGAGCGTGTTCTTTTGCTCGTTCGTTCGTTGAAGGGGACAATTGGTATTAAGGCACCATAAAGGTTTAAGTCTTTAATTATCATCAGTATTTTATTTCCTGTGTTTCCTTGAGTTTCTTCTTGTATGGATGTACAGTATTTCTGAACAGTTAAGCCAAGAATGACGTCGCAGGTGTACTGATAATCTGTTTTACCTACTTGTAATCTTGTTATTAGTTACGAATTTGATGACCGAATCTTTCAAGAGAATCTGGTTCTATGGTTATTAATGATAGGTATGGTGGTGGTGGAGGAGGAGGAGGAGGCTTAATATAACAGGTGGGCCCATTACAACTGGTCCTCAACCTGAACGTTTAAGGTCAACTCAGGCCAGGAAAGTCTTGGGACCTATTAAAGACTTGGGAGTACATCTTGCACCAATAAGAGTTAAGACCTATTACTCTCTTGGTGTATAAGAACTAGGTGTCCCGTTTGACCAGTGGCCACGCTTAAACACTCCCCCCTGTCACCCTGCACTCTTCCGGTAATTTAAGAGAGTGGTGTGACCGGCTAGCATCGGCACTCAGGGAAAATGCGTCTGTGCTTTTTTTTCCAATGGCGAGGGTGAGGGGGTGAAAGAGGAGGTGGGGGGTAGGAAAGTGGCTTACTACTGAGAGAGAGAGAGAGAAAGGGGTGCCTGAGTATGAAATTGTGAGAGAGAGAGAGAGAGAGAGAGAGAGAGAGAGAGAGAGAGAGAGAGAGAGAGAGAGAAAGTTTATTTTATGCATAATGACCAATAATATAACACACAGGGCTGGGGGTAGGGAGGCAGGCAGGCATGGGGGGCAGTAAAGGCAGGCAGGCGTGTCTCCTAAGTGTCAGTTAATCGGGCCAGGTATCGATCAGTGGGGACCAAGTGTGGGTGCTGGCGGGACTACACGACCACTCCATTACCACCCCTACCATAACCCCCTCCCCCCCATTTCCCTTGCCCGCCCGCCTGCCCGCCCTCACCCGCGCCCACCGCCACTTACCTCGTTCTCCCGCCACCCACGTCTACAACCATCACCACTTCACCTTAACCGTAAACACACTCAGCCCACTAACTCCGCACTCACCCCTTTATCACACCTCACCACTACCACCACAACCACCTTCCTACTCAAAGGTTAAATCATCGTTCTCAAGGGGCTAAATCATCGTACTAAGGGGCTAAATCATCGTACTAAGGGGCTAAATCATCGTACTCAAGGGGCTAAGTCATCGTACTCAAGGGTTATTTTCATTTGTTTATATAGTAATTTATTCAAGTTTAGATAAAATTTTCTTGATGTCTCCTAACTCCACTCCTTACTGGCATTGACGCTCTTAACCATACATGAGTGCCACTGCAGGCAGGAAGCAGGCGTACGTTCATCAGGTATAAATCTTCCACAAGCGTGTCATTGCTGGGTGGAGGAGAATGCCAGGGGTTGATGACTGCTCGTGCTGCTGCTGATTGTACAGTATTATACTTGTCAGAGATCCAGCCTGGTGCCTAAAACCTCCTCCCCATGTCTTCCTCTCCTCACCCTCCCTCCCTATCCCCAGGTCTTCCCCTCACCCTCCTCCTCCAAGTCTTCCCCTCACCCTCCTCCTCCAGGTCTTCCCCTCACCCTCCTCCCCCAGGTCTTCCCCTCACCCTCCTCCCCCAGGTCTTCCCCTCACCCTCCTCCTTCAGGTCCTCCCCTCATCCTCCTCCTCCTCCAGGTCTTCCCCTCACCTTCCTCCGCCAGGTCTCCCTTTCCCTAACTTCAGCCTCCAAATCTCATGCTTCCTGCCCACCATCTCCGTCCATAGCACACACTCCTTCCTACTCTAGCTTTCGCTCTCCCTCTCCCTCTCCTCCTCCTACCCTCACCAGCTTCTTCTCTTCCACTTCTCTTCTTCCCTACTCCAGCTTCTCTCCCTCTCCTCCCCCTAGCCATGCCAGCTTCTTCTCTCCCTATCCTTCTCCCTCCTCTGCCCCTCTTCTTCCTCCAGGGTGTGTTCCTCTACAGCAGAAGACTCGTCGCCTCATTTTATGTTTCTCATAAGGAGTTTCCCGCAGACTAAGGTGGATTAGCCGCCACGCCTCGATGCTACTTTGTGGGACAGAGTTTGATGAAGAACCGCGGTGGTCCCTCCCACACTTGCTGCTGCACAACACTGATACCAGGCACAGCGGTGATGGTCCCTCCCACACCTGCTGCTGCACAACACTGATACCAGGCACAGCGGTGATGGTCCCTCCCACACCTGCTGCTGCACAACACTGATACCAGGCACAGCGGTGATGGTCCCTCCCACACCTGCTGCTGCACAACACTGATACCAGGCACAGCATTGATGGTCCCTCCCACACCTGCTGCTGCACAACACTGATACCAGGCACAGCGGTGATGGTCCCTCCCACACCTGCTGCTGCACAACAATGATACCAGGCACAGCGGTGATGGTCCCTCCCACACCTGCTGCTGCACAACACTGATACCAGGCACAGCGGTGATGGCACAGCTGGTCAGCGGTGATGGTCCTCACCACACCTGCCGCTGCACAACACTGATACCAGGCACAGATTGATGGTCCCCTCCCACACCTGCTGCTGCACAACACTGATGATGGTCCCTCCCACACCTGCTGCTGCACAACAATGATACCAGGCACAGCGGTGATGGTCCCTCCCACACCTGCTGCTGCACAACACTAATACCAGGCACAGCGGTGATGGTCCCTCCCACACCTGCTGCTGCACAACACTGATACCAGGCACAGCGGTGATGGTCCCTCCCACACCTGCTTCTGCACAACACTGATACCAGGCACAGCGGTGATGGTTTCTCCCACACCTGCTGCTGCACAACACTGTATATATGTGTGTGTGTACAGGGTATGTACGTGCACGTGTATGTGTGTTATGTATGTATGTGTGTGTGTGGCACTTCGCGATTAATATTTAAAGCAAGTTAAAGGGAGTGAATTGAAGTATGTGAGAGACGAATGGTGTTCTATCCACCAAAAATACCCCAAAACTCTTTATTCGATATTTGCCGCAAAAACTGACGGAAACAGACAGGCGACATATACTGTATATACCAGAGGAAGCGGTGGTGGTGGGTGGTAGTGGAGGGTGAGGGCGCGGTGATAGTGCTGGCGGCGGCGGCGGTGGTGGTGGTGGGTGAGAGTATGAGTGGCCTGTATTTGCTCACCTCCCCTCAAGGTATAAAGTATTCAGATTTCCCTTCGTCAGCAGCAGTATCTCGCCCTCAGGAACTCCAGTGGGACTTTTTTGTGGGAGTATGGCTGTGATTTTTTTTCCTCTCGTGGATTAGAGTCTTTGAAGATTATTGACTACATACTTTTTGTTGTTTTTTTTTCTTTACATTTGTTTGGTTTGATTGTCTGAAGGGGTTAGGTTAGGTTAGGTTAGGTTAAAGGTCCATTGGGGTAAGTCTGTTTGGGGGGTGAATTAATACACCTGTGCATGCAATTTTATGAGTATGATGCACTCTACATAGATTCATCCTATGTTTTTAAGTTAGGTATCCGGTAATGCTTTGCCATCTGCAGCATGCAAAAGTTTTTCATATTCCATAGTGTATCAAAAATATTTCTGTCTACCTGGAGATACAGTACACAGTAAAAATATGAAGTTGTTGCCAGTGAACCTATTTTAAAAGTTGGTACAGTACTACCCTATGTATTGATTTTACATTATGCAGTATACATACCGTATATATAATAATAATAATATCTCCGTCAGCCAGAATCCTTGTAAACCGGGATCCCCGTTACCGTAGCCGGAACTGTCCAATACCCGGAATTGAAATTGGCTTGGAATTTTTCCAGAAAAATTGTCTCAATTTTCTAAGAAAATTCTGGAAACTATAATATAAAACTATAAAATAAGAAAACTGAAGTGCATGTGTGTGTATGTGTGGGAAATGAACACATGTGTGAAGGCACTTAGCACTGAGCTGTTACTATGACTGCATCTCGACTCAGCAGTCACCACCCACCCAGCTCCTCCCTCAGATGTGACGTCACAGCATACTGACACACACACACACACGTCTCGGAGTCAGCTGGTGACTGCCCAGGTGATCTGTGTCGCATTACCAAGAGGATGGTTCAAGTGTGTAAGGAGATATTTTTGTACATACAGAAATAATGAAGTAAATACATACTGTAATAGTAATATTGTAAATAAATATATTTTTGTACATACAGAAATAATGAAGTAAATACATACTGTAATAGTAATATTGTAAATAAATATAACACTGTGAGGTGAGCTGATGATGTGAGGTGGTGAGGTGACGAGGCAGGAGGTGAGGTGATGTGACAAGGCACTTACACAGCAAACACATTAACAGCACCACTAAACGATTGTCTTATAACATTTTAATTTCTAGTTTTAAAATTAATTGATACATGATGGCTTGATTTGAGTAAGTTTGCACTTTAGAAAACTGATCAGTGAATAAATTAGGGCAGATGGAAATGCATTTTACACAACAATAATATTTACTGTATTAAGTTCTGATAAATACACTACAATATTATTTACTAGTGCTCAAGACAGATCCTGTGGTAACCACAAACCCTCTTGAGCAGTGACAACAATGGTGCTTGTGAGATGATGAGTGCTGCAACATTATTAACGAGAGTGGATCAGCTGTTACTGCTCTGTAAACAGAAACTGTAAATATATTACGGCACAATCGCCTCCTGCTACTGATCGGCTCATTAGCCGTTTGGGCGATCGGTCACGTCTCTGTTACGCACTGTTGGCAAGTACTGGTTTGGGATTTTGGGGGTTAATTAATATTTTGATAATGATTTAATAACCCTGCATCAAATGAACCTAAATAGTATGGGAATTATGGTGAATTGCATACTGTTGTTATAAAGGGATCGTGGGCTGCTATGCAGGAGGTGGTGAGTTGTCCTCCCTTCCTCCTCCATCGCCTCTTTTAAAATAGTTACTACTGTATAATGATAAGAACATCTGTGGAAAAAATTGAATGAAGTTGAACAATTTCTAGTGGTAATGCTGTTCTCAGAAATTGCTAAAATTTTCTTATAGCCTCGTGGGTAGCTGAATTTCAATCGAGAACCTTGAGTAAAGGGTTACTAATATTTTTTTTTGAATAAGTGAACTTGCAAATACGGAGTATGCAAATATGAGGGGATAAGTGTATCACGATTTTGGCGTTGAAAATTGCTTAAATTTACCCCATTTCCTAGGTTGAATTTAAAGTCTATCTAGAATTTAGTGGTCATAATTTACAAATACCATCTGGGTGAATTTCCACAACCTGTGTTTCCATGATGTGGAGGATGCAGGTACCTGTATACATAAAATATCCGTGCGCTTACGAGGTTTATAAGGAATAATATCCGTGGAGCATGTAAGTCTTAACAGAGAATGATTCACATCTCTTGCTATACTGTCACTTAGGGAGTGACAGTTTGGCAAAAGTTTTCAAAATCTAATTGTTGCTTGGATTATTTGTCTATCGGCCACGCTAATTCCGAATATGTTTGAGTTTTTTACATCATTGCATTAGAAGGTTTGTGGATACTTTTGGTTTGCATGAAAAACGCGAAAAAACTGTAAATAATAAAGGACTGGCAATGTGGCACAACCTGTTAAAATCAAGTTATTGAATTGGATTATCTGACTACTGTGTACACCGGGTTCATAATAATATGCCATTGTTTTACAACTCACGCCACAAATTATGCCGATATTTTGCTGCAATACCACACACGTGATATTTTCGAAATTAGGCCTGTTGATTAACGGCGATTCTGTGGACGAACGATTTTATTCTGCTCACGGAATATTACCAACCTGTATATGTGCCAATGCGCCAATGGCAATATTTACAGAGTTTGTTGAGGCTCCTGACGGGAATGCCCTGAATTTATCTCCACGGAATCTATTCACGCCGTTGGTAATAGCCCGTCCCAGGACTGATCATCACTCCAGCCCAAGTAGCTTGACTTGGACAGTTAAGGACAAAAATCTCAGTCCAGACTTTTGAATAAAATATTGTTCAATAGGTGGTGATATTGAAGTGCTGGAAAGTTGTTTTTCTGTGCTGTTTGCAGTTGTTCAAAGGGCCGCCACCAAGATGGGTCGTCCTAAGATTAGCAACACCAGCTGCGCCTGGGCAACGATAAGGTGTCAGGGGTTCGGATGCCTCTGCCATCTAACGTTGCCTCCTGGAAATCAAGGAAGCTGGAAGTGCCTCAGCTTATGGAAGCAGAAAAACGAGGTTAAGAGAAGAACAAATGCTTTTGATTATATGGATGCCACCAACAAGGTGACTGAGAAGGTACTGGATGTATAGGAGGCCACTGTCCCCACTATCTCTGGAAATCAGGGTGAAATGAGAGTCCACGACCTGTGGAGGATGCGGAGGAAGACGATGATGATGAAGGGAAATGGACAGAAACAGAAAAGGAAGAAACGAAGAACGGGAAGCTGAAGATGAGGTTCGAGGATATAGCTGAGAAGTTGTTTGATATGGCAGACGACACTTCAGCACGAACGAGAGAAAAGCTTCCTGGCAGCCCAGAGGAAACCGAAGGAGGGCTGCATTGATGGCGTTGACAAAATTGTGACTGCCAAGTTGAAAGAAGAGAGGGAGAAGGAAGCGAAGAGGGCAAAGAAAGGGCTGAGGAAGAGAGGAAAACTGAGAAGATGAGGTCAAAGAGTAAGGAGGAGATGGAGAGGATGTCGTGTAAAGTGTCGGCAGTGGATGACAGTGCTCAGGAAGAAGATAGTGATTATAAGGATGTCAGTGACAATGAGTTCAAGGCTATGGTCGACAGGAGAGCAAGATCAGAGAAAAGGAAAAGGGAGAAAGAAGCCGAGGACAGGATCGGAGAAACTGCTGACAGGTTCAAGGTATCCAATGATGCAGTGGCTCACATCGCAAACACCATCAGAGCTGCAGACAACATCATAACTGAAGGGGACAAGTCTAAAGTGACTAACTGGAAGAAAGTGGAGAGAGTCAGGAAGAGGTCACGAGAACAGAAAAAAGAAAAGTTCAGGGGATTCAAGGTCAGAGGTCTCATGGTAGATGAGAGGATCAATGAGAACAAGATAGTGACTGGTGTAGGTGAGAAGAACCACAAGAGATTCGCCATGGAAAAGAGGGAAGACTGTGCAGTGATCGGCTTCCCTGGTGAGGAGTTCCTTGGTCACCTGGTCCCGGTGGGGGGAAAGGGGGTAGACCTGGCCACCAGCCTGCTGGCCTTCCTGGAGGAGCGCGGTATTGACACCACCGACCTCCTGGTTGTCCTTAGCGACGGTTGCAACAAACTGAGTGGCTATAATCACGGTTTCATCGCCGAGTTTGAAAGGCTGTTGGGACGGCCTCTCCTCCACATCCACTGCCTGATCCACAGTCTGGAGAAGCTCTTCGGCCATCTATTCAACCATTACGCTGGCCCAACCACTGGTCCCGCCTCCTGGAGTGGTGAGGAGGCTCGGAAGCTGACCGGCAACGTGTGGGACCTTCCGGTGGTTGAATTCGAGGCCGTCACCAACACCTACCTCAGGTCTCTCCTGGATGCCATCCCCTCCGTCGTCTGGGAGGAGTTCAGCTGGGACACCCGGTATCTGTTGGAGATGGCCAAGACGGTGGAGTCCGGCCACATTGAGGAGAGATGGGCCAGGGCACGGGCCGGAGCCATGACCAACGCCAGATGGCAAAACACGGAGAGCAGGGAGCTGAGGGCCTACATGAGCACCACCTCCCCCAGCGAGTCACAGAGACGGATGACCTCCTTCATCATCCTTATCTACGTGCCCTCCTTCCTGGAGATCAGGCAGAGGAATCTGCTACTGGAGGGCCCACGCCACCTCCTCGCCATCATCAACCGGGTGAGGACGTACTGCACCCTGGAGGAAGTGGAGCTGCTTACTCCATACCTCCAGTTCAACGGCTACTTCGGCCAGCACGAGGTGGTGCTGGTCTCACTGCTGGCCTCCATGGACAAGAGTGAGAGGGAGTTGGCCCTAAACATCATCAAGCAGCTGAGGAAGAAGGAAAAAAGGCACAAGAGAAAGACAGTGAGGAAAGTGAGGAACCCTCAACTGAATCTGGCAGCCACCAAGCTGTCAGAGTTGGTTGATCTGCAGAAGGCCAGCTCCTCCCCTCCCATCCTGTTCCAGCACAGTGACCAGGAAATGGAGCAATTTCTGGAGGAACCGTACAGTGAGCCAGGTCTGCCCTGCACCACCACCGCAGTGGAAAGAGGAGTGAAGCTCACCACGGAGGCGGCAGACGTGGCCAGCTCTGCCTGGCAGCAGGACCAGGTCACCTGGAACAAGCTGGAGGCCAGGAAGAGAAACAAGCGGAGGGCTAAGAAAGAGGACTACCAGTGCTAGACTGTGGGGACACTGGGACTGAGGGGACACTGTGGGGACAGCCAATGTTAGTGTGCCAACTGTGCTAGTGTGTTGCTGATAAATTGAAGCATACATGCCAATAATAAAGAATGTCTACCATTATTCTTGTTTTTTTTTATGTTGAACCGAAAAGTATCCACAAACCTTCTAATGCACTGATGTTAAAGATTCAAACATATTCGGAACCAGCGTGGCCGATAGACAAATAATCCAACCCAAGCCACTTAATTTTGAAAACTTTTGCCAAACTGTCACTCCCTACTGTCACTCATCCCCCATACCCTTGTTGCACACTCACTCTCAGTCATTTCCCCTCTGTAAACAATGCCTAACCTCCCACAGTTTTTTATTGCTTTTCATATGCATTCTTGAAAAATCATGGCTATTGTTTTAGCCATAAATTTAAAGCTTAATGCTATATTAAGTGTTGTCCATAAAAGGAAATGTAGCAGCTATGGACTGAACGTGAAATTAGATGTTATTCGTTGGAAGAAAATTTGTTAGTATGTAATAGACTTCTCTCATGCTCTTCAGATTCTAGATCAGTGGTGTTTAATCTTTTTACTCCCACGCCCCATCTAGGAATTGGTCCTTCCCTCCATGCCCCCCTTGCATCTATGAATAAAATTCCTTCCCAGTTTTAAAGAAAAATGAAAAATATTGTGTTTTTAGTCTTCTTATTGAGTATAAATTAGTGAGATACTTGACACTGCTTCTTAGCTACTAGATCTTGAATGCGTGGTTGAATGCCAGAGAGTGCACAACGTAAATCCCCTTCAACGTTCAGCCTGTTTCTGTACTTGGTCTTGACAGCAACTAGCGTGGAAAGTGCAGCTTCACAAAGATACGTGGATCCGAACATAGTTAGAATCCGAAGAGCCTGATGTGAGATCAGAGGGTAAACAGGAAGGTACTTGACCCAGAACGTCTCAAGATCCAGTTCTTTGAAGTCTTCCTTAGCTGTGAAGTTAAATTCAACTCAAGAAACTACTCTTGCACTTCATCCGAAACATCAGCTACTTCACATTGAAATGGATTCCTGATGAATTTCCAGGCTTCACGCTTCTCATCTATCTCTGGGAAGTATCTGATGAATTCTGTTTTCAAGTCAGTTAGATGAGTGATTATTTGTTTCTTTAACTCGGAATCAAGGTTACCGTGAATGAGAGCAGAATCCAAGTAACTAAAACTGACTGCATTTCCCTGCTGAATTCGACACTTCCAGAGGTCGAGTTTGGCCATGAAGGTTCGAATGGTGTCGTGGTGCATGATGATGTTGATGTTTTTCCCTTGTAGTTTAAGGTTGAGAGCATTCAACGCTTCGAAGATGTTCACCAGGTAAGCTAGAGATAGCTGAAAGCCTTCAGACTGGAACTTGTCATGGAGATCTGCCTTCTGCTTCGAATCAAGAAATATTGCTACTTCTTCTCGTAGTTCATAAAGCCCTCCAAGCATGTTTCCCCCTTGATAGCCATCGTGCGTTCGTGTGAAAAAGCAAGGTTTCATGTTCAGATTCCATATCCTTACACAGCAGTTTGAAGAGACGACTGTTTAAGGCTCCAGCTTTGATAAAGTTGACTACCTTGATAGCCACGTTCAGGACATACCTCATTTCAGCAGGTAAAGTTCTGGATACTAAGGATTCACGATGAAGTATGCAGTGTGTACCTACAACAGACGGATTTTTTTCTTTCACCATTGTAATGAATCCAGACTGCAGACCAAGCATGGCTGGAGCTCCATCAGTGCACACCCCTACCAGCGAGTCCCACGAAAGTTGGTTTTCCTGAAAGAAGTTTGATACATCATGAAAAATAGCTGCTGTTGTACAACTTTCCATGGGGTGACAGAACAGCATATCCTCTTTTACACTGTTGCCTGACACGAAACGAGCATACAACAGTAGCTGAGAACGCTGAGCGATGTCAGTCGTTTCGTCACACTGGATGGCAAAAACAGGAGAATCTCTTACTTGGTCGAGAATTTGATCTTTGATGTCTTGAGACAATTCATCGATTCTTCCCTTGACTATATCGTTTGATAGTGAAATTTGGGAAAGCTTGTTTGCACTATCTTTCCTCAGAACGAGTTCTGCTGCACGGAGTATGCTTGGTTTTATGAGAAACTCTCCGACGTTATGGCTCTTCTTGCTCTTTGCAATCAACATGGCGATCTCATAGGAAGCCTCAACAACCTTTGAAGTTTGTTGCCGAAATGCCCCACTGCCGTCCAACTTAACTTGCTTCAAGGAGTGTCTTTTTGTTTCAAAGAATGCCTTGGGCTTGTCAGCTAGAGCAGGATGTGTTGTCCTCAAGTGGCGTTCCAAGCGTGAGGGCCGCATTCCATCATTGCTCAGAGTCTTATAACATATCACACACACTGGGGGACCTCTGTGTCACCCTCTTGGAGAGAGACGAATCCAAATCTAATATATTCGTCAAGGTACTTTCGCTTCTTTGCACTCATTGCGAATTATTTGATGTGCAGTGGACAACACAAATCTGTGAACAAAACGTAAGGCACGTGTAAGGTAAGATAAACATCACCACGTGCTCATGAACACCACAACATCATGATAATCACAACCACATGATCAATAACAAACATATGATCGTAAAGTTCGTAAACACTACAAGTGACTACAATCATACATGATCATAAACACCACCATATCATTAACAAACATCACATGATCATAAACACCACATGATTATTAACAAGCATCAATGATCACAACATGATCATAAGCACCACTACATGATCATAAACACCACCACATAATTATTAAGTAAATATTAACAAACACCACAACATTATAGTAAACACATCATGATCATAAACACATGATTATTAAGAAACAAATCAATATCATCATAAATACAACTTTACCATAACCACCTGTTACCACCACATGATTTTAAGCACCACCAACTTCTGATAAAATACAAACGGAATTCAAAACTTGCGAATAATACACAGAGCAACACATGCGTGTTCACAATTCACCAATAAACTTATGGCTGCTTACTATTTTTAGGTAAATATAACAACTGGGATAAAACATACCTCAACAGCCTTAACTGAATAAATGTGAGAGAGGAGGAATTATTGCCACGGACGTGTGCAGAAGACTGGGAGGGAACGGGGCTCACCAGTCACCAACGAGCAGTATACAGGTCCAGGACGAGTTAAACCTCCTCCCCCCCCCCATGGGTTTCGAGGGATAGGGAGGGGGGTCAATAAGTGCAGAAAATGGTAAGCCCAAATTCAAAAAAGTAGCCTATAGAAAATTAAAGTTATAAGGCGATACTTTTGCATTTTTTCATGAACTTCTCAATAATAGCCCACGCTCTTGTTAAGAGAATAAAAACTATAATTATAATTAGAGAAATTTCTACTTTTTCCCTAGGCTTGCGCCCTCTGGAAATTACTGACGCCCCCCAGGTTAAGAACTACTGTTCTAGATTATAAATGATAAAAGTTATAAAAATATGTGAACTCATTTTGAGTGTTATTTAGAATCTTATGGTCCCAACCAAACCCTATTCCCATTACGTATTTCTTATGGCAAGAAATTTCCGCTTTAAGTGGCGGTTTTCCAGTCCTTGTTAGCCTTCGATAATGAGGACCCCTGTACCATGTATATTATACTGTAAATATTCATTACCAAACAAGATGTGCATTTTGTTGATCTGGATTAAGGTGAAAAGGAAACCTTCCCCGTGCATGATCTCCATACACGTTAGTAAATAATGCTCTGCTGAGTGTATCATGTAAAATGAGAACTTACATGTGCTTTGACTTAAACTGCATCGAGTACTGTACAGTTATTGTAGTGTTGGTACTGTACTGTATTAGATTACAGTACAAAGAAATTTCAGCAGATGGAAGGAAACTGGTAGTACATAACTAACAAGCATATCTTAAAGAATATATTTCGTGACTAGTTTCTTACTGAGTTACAATAGATGTGTTTGTAATACTAACTTACCTCATTTCCTTAACATCATTTACTCATACATGTGCTGGATGACTGTGCTGTTCTTATTGCAAAGTCATTTCAGTGTATTGTTGGGTCACATTTTTTTATTGCTTAAAAAGGTCAAAACAACTTAGAGTAAAAATAAATTTATAATAATTGAAACATAATTATCAACTATTTTAAAATTGTTTTCAGTTATCATTTGTGAGAAATTAAAATTCTAATACATGTCATCTGATAAATGTATATTTTGGTGGATGCCAACCTGAAGCCACTGAAAATTTTGATGTCTACACACTTGTATAACTTCATTTGCAGAAAAGATGGAATTTGATCGGACAGTTTAAGTAAGTTTTGTTGGGTCTAGAATTTTTTTATTATTATTGTTTTTTAGACTAATAAAATAAGAAGGAATAAGAGCATTTCATGCACATTACCAGACACCTGAACTTGTTTTAAAGTAAGAGGCATCGTTAGCAGGTTATTATTGAGTGGTGGGTGTAGGGCTAGTCATTCTTTTCTGTTCAGGTCAGGATTAACGCTTCTCTCCTGGGAGGATAGCTTAAAGTTACATTATAATATCTTTAGTAAATAATGAATGAGTTTGATAAATTCCTTAAACATCATCATCATCAAGCCATTATATCTGAAGGTTTAAAAATATTTTCAGATGTTTGTGGGAATTGTAATCATGTGATTGCTACTCATGGCCATCGTTTTTGGGTGGAAGATGACTATCAGTATTATGAGATGAGCTGCATGTTGTGTGGTGAGGCTGAGGATACCCGATCTTGCTTTCCTGATGATCCACGCATGGAAGTCTCCCTATTTTAGAAGTATGTCATCAAACTCATCACCACCAGTAGAAGCATTTGAGGCCAAGCTGTGAAAATTTTGGTGTAATGTATTTGAGATCGGATATATACTCTCTTAATTGATATGAGGAAACCAGTAGCAATAGGTGAAATTAAGCCATCTCTGTGTGAGAAAATTCTTGCTGGTGTTTCCCCAGCCAAATAGGGGAGGACCGTCACTTTTGCAGTGTAACATGCTTGATGTGTCAAGTAAACGAGAGAATTGTCTCCTAATTTGTGTCATACATATGATTTAGTTAAGAACTGTAAATGTGTTTGGCATCATTGTTAATCACGCTGGGTGTCTTAAGAGTAAGAGGTCTAATACAGTGACATATGTACAACACAGTACAGGTTGTACCTCTCTAGTCCGGCATTCTGTGGTCCGGAAACTCCCTTGGTCCGGAACGATTTTAGTTTGTCCAATAGGTAGATAGGCAGCTTCTTTTTTTTTTTTTTTTTTAATTTACTTATCTGAATTATTATTATTACAGGAGTATTAAATTCTTGCCCCTCAGGCCCCAATGTGGGTCAGTGATCTATGCCCAGGTGGGCTAATCCCCATAAAAAAAACAACAGCAAAGCCGTGGGAAATTGATGTTTGTTTACATCTGGCAGTTCGGCTGCTCTCTCTCTCTCTCTGCTTGTCTGTACAGAGTACAACATTTAACCCTTCAATATACATGAGCAGTAAATAAGTGTTGCTTTCATATTCTTATGTAGAGTAATGACTATGTTTTAACATGTGCGCATATACATACGTGCAGTCTCACTTTTTTTTACCATTAATGGTTAGCTACTTATATTGTTCCATTTATTAACATTAAATAACATTACAGGTACTTCAAACAACCATATTAGTTTTTTTTACATTAATTTTACGACAGCTACAATCAGGGTCTTGTTTTCTTCAGTTTTATATGTAGAACCAATCAGTCACTGGTTTTGTAAGCTTTAACATAAACAATGCCGGCAGCCGTCTCGTCTTGTGTGTTTTAATATTCCACGTATTATTAATAAATTGCATTGTTAATTTTACACACACAAACATTAATTCAATAAAAACAAATTCAGAAACATTAATTAAAATATATAAGAACAGTAAATAAGTGTTGCTTTCATATTCTTATGTAGAGTAATGACGATATTGTAGTGGACTTCTCCCCTACAACTGAGTAGCGGCGTCACCAGCTGCTACCATCTTCCTTAGCAACCAAGCGAGCGGCGACACCAGATGTTACCGTTACCTAGCAACTGAACTAAAGACCGGCGACTTTCTCGGGTTTTCCCAACATGACTCATAGAAGACTCACGGCTGCTGGGTATATAAGCTCTGTCTCTCCATTGAGATTCATTCTGGCATTCTTCTTGAACACGCAACACCTCCTCCAGCAAGCTCCACGCTGTCCAGCATTCATTCACCCAGGAGGCCAGCAACAGGCAACATCTTCTCTAACGAAGCTCCTGCACATCTACCTCCTTCAACATGCTACTCACCGAACGTCTCTACTGAGCAGCTCCTCACCACACGGCACCTCCAGCACCAGACTGTCTATCATATAACTTATATTATACAAGAAAACCACCTTAGAGTTTCCATCCATCCTGAGTGCTAGACAACATTATACCACGAATTCCTACAATATGTTTTCACGTGTGCGCACTTACATACGCGATCTCTCTTTTCTTTACCATTATCATTAGCTACTTCTATTGTTCCATTTATTAACATTAAATAACATTACTTAAAACAACCATATTAATTTTACTACAGCTTCAACCAAGGTCTTATTTTCTTCAGTTTTATATGTAGAACCAGTCAGAAACTGGTTTTGTAATCAACGAAAATAATGCTGTGTCATTTCCTCGTGTATTTTAATATTCCATGTATTACACTGCCCTGCATAGTTTTTGAGGTTTGCGTATTATTAAGCTTTTCTGGGTGTATTTTGCATGCTGATCTCAAAAATGTTATCCATTTTGCTCAATCAGGTCAGAATTCTATGCTATAGCATTTTAAGCGGAGATTCAGGTAAAATATTGTCATTTTTCCCTCAAAATGGGGTCCTCATATTCGTTCATTAAAAAAATCATCCGAGACATTGGCAAGCCTCACAGAAAAGATTTCGGTCAGTTTTAATGCCCTTACGATGCGTTTAAATACACCCACGTGCTCGCCGGCCATTTAAATGTCCGCCGTGACGCAAAGGAAAAGAGTATATGTCCGTGTTTTTTTTACATATATTTTTTCACAATTAAATTTCTTTTTCATCTGGTAGTACATGGCATGTTTCCTCTGTCTGTGGGATAGTCGAGCAGACAAGCAGCACTACATGCAACGTGACTGGCCTGCAAGAAGTGGACTTACTCCAGGTTCTCACAATATTGTTGCCCATGCTCTGGTGAATCCGCAGAACATTCTTCTTCCGCCACTGCACATCAAGCTCGGTCTGTTCAAAAACTTTGTAAAGGCACTGGACAAAAAAAGCCAGGCTTTCAATTTTCTGAAAGAAAAATTTCCAAAAGTCAGTGAGGCAAAGCTGAATGCAGGAATTTTTGATGGCCCTCAGATCAGAGAGCTTTTCAAAGATCCCAAGTTTGATTGCAGCATGGATGTAAATGAGAAGAAAGCCTGGCATGCCTTTAAGTCTATTGTCTCCAATTTTCTTGGCAACTACAGAAGTCCAGAGTATGAACGAGTTGTTGAGGACCTACTTCTGAGCTACAAAGTTCTTGGTGCACGCATGTCCATCAAGATGCACTTCCTCAGCTCCCACTTGGACTACTTTCCAGAGAACTGTGGTGATGTGAGTGAGGAACAAGGAGAACGCTTCCATCAAGATATCCGTGTAATGGAGGAGCGGTACCAGGGTCGCTGGGATATCAACATGCTCGCCGACTACTGTTGGTGTCTGAAACGGGACGCCCCAGACACCAACCACCAAAGAAATTCTCTGCGACAGCCATTTATGCATGTCTAACTGTAAAGGCATCTATGTAGTTGACATATTTTGGTCCTATGTGTTGTGGTTACATTTCTTATGATATATTTTGCATAAAAATTTTGACATCATATTTAAGAATTTTGATTTTTTCCTAATTCCCATAGCATAAAAATCTGACCTGATTGGGCAAAATGAATGGCATTTTTGGAATCAGCACGCAAAATACATAAAGAATCAGCTAAGAAACCCCGCACCTCATGATTTTTTTTTCAAATGCAGCCCAGTGTTATTAATGAATTGTTTTGCTCATTTTGCACACAAACATTAATTCAATAAAAAAGACATTCAGTAATAAACAATAATGAATCTTTTGTACATAAGAGATATGACACTGTTTACACGATTATGCACGTCGTCTGCACGTTGTCCGGCCGTTCAAACCCGTCGAAATTCAAGTTTCCGCTTTCAAAATTTTTATTTATATTTTTTGTGTTCCAATAAAATACGTTGAATTAAAAACTCGCGAAATATGAGAAGCTCCTATACGACATTTAACCCTTCAATATGTCTTCAAAGAGACCATGATGCAGAGAAAGTGGTGCTAGTGCTTCCAAGCATAAGCACAAGTCACTATCTATCCAGGAAAAAGGTGAATTTCCATGGTCCGGCACCGGTCAGGTCCCGAGGTTGCCGGACTAGAGAGGTACAACACAGTACTTTAGTTACATATGTATGTGTGTGTGTGTGTGTCATGTATATATTGAGGAGATTTGATTATTTGTAGTTTACTGAAGTATATAAGCCAAAATAGTGATGCACAGTCTCTTATACTGAACACAACAATTTATAAATATATTTAAAATGTCTCCATGGATATTACATTAAAGAGTTGATTTTATATAGTATTGTGTAATGAATATCTAAACTGTATTCATTCTGTTGTAGAGGATATATATTTTTTATATTGGATGTCATCATTTTGCTCAATAACTGATTATACAAATAGATAATCAATTGCATTGTTAGAAATTTTTTTCTCTTCAAGTGTGAATACTTGACGTAGTTAGTTCTGGGTTTATAGTATTTGTAATTCATTAAAACTAGCAATATGTACCAAGTTAGTCATTAGTCATTCTATTAAATCTTGTACAATCACCATTTTTATTTTGAATTTTTGTCAACCGTGCTGTCAGTATAATATATGCAGTATGGTTGGTATCAGAAAGGCAAGGAGTGTTTTGCTGTTTTTTGTCTTGTTTATTACAATTTTGGTGGTGCGTCAAGTTGGGCACCGATTCAGTCAAGGAAGAGTTTAGGGAAAAGAAGACTCCAGTTATCGGGAATCCATTAGAAGATTTGGTTGTCATTGTTAGAGAGTTTGAAAGTTTTGATAACGATGTAGGCGAGACTGTTGATTCTGTTCTGAGTTCTTGTGGTGCTGTATGTAAGATTCTGGTGGTGAGTGATGACACTGTATTCCCACCTTTGCACTTAACGAGACATGTGTCATCGGTGGTTCTCAATCCAGGGTTGCTCAGGCATCGTCCAAATCTTCGAGGTTTCTTAACTGGTGCAAAATATGTCCTCCTTTTGCCAGATGGTGCTCGGTGTTCCTCGTCTACACAATTAGTGGATCTCATACATTTATTAAATACTGGAGATTCACAGGTTGTAGCAGTAGGTGTAGGTGGCTCACCATTAATATGCCACCGCTACACTCTTAACATAAGCTCCTGCTCCTCAAAGTGAAGCTTGTGATGCAGTTAGTGGACGTGCAGCCTTGCTAATGAAAACTAGCAGTGTTTTACAGCTGACTCATCCTCTGGCACTCCCTGTGGCCCTGAGTATTGGTATCCAAGGTGCAGCACGTGCATGGAAAGTGCATGTTAGTCGGGGTGGTCTGCTTGGGGAGGGCCGACAACTTTATGCCAATGACCACCTACAGTGGAAACGAGACACTGTTGAAGAGGAACGGAAACGTGCTCTTTTTGCTGAGTTAGGTGTTAAAAAAGTTGTAACCACAGGTGGTAAAGTGCTTTGGTATGGATACAGTCGTAAAACACCTCGCTGCTTTCCTACCGTGATAGACGATACACCAGACTATCTGTATGTGGGACGCTGGACGCCACCATGTTGCTTAGAAGGGTTAAGAACCACTGCACGACATGTCTTCCAGGTGCTAAGGGGATGCCGAGCACGTTGGTGGCTCGAGGGAGGGTCTTTGTTGGGTGCTGTACGAAGTGGAGATATTATCCCCTGGGACTATGATGTAGATGTGGGCATTTACTCTCAGGATGTTAATCGTTGTCCACAACTGAAGGCAGCACGTTGGCAGACATTAGAAGATACTGATGGTTTTGTGTGGCAGAGAGCTTCAGAAGGTGGGTTTTTCCGAGTACACTACAGCACTGCAAATCATTTACATGTTGATGTGTTTCCATTTACCCCACGAGGGGGCACCATGACACGAGGTGGTGCTTGGACCACGGGTCATCGTCAGGATATAGATTTTCCAGAGCACTTCTTGAGACCACTTGCATCGGTGAATTTTGCTGGAGTAATGGCCTCAGCACCCAATAATGTCCGAGACTTTCTAGAGCTCAAATTTGGTGCGGGAGTGATTGAAACTCCTCAGTATCCCAATCCAGATGTTCGCCTTCCACATAATATATCAGTGCTGACTTAAAGGTAATTGTTCCTTTGATAAAAAGTTATGGGTTGTTTTTATTGGCCTCATTTTGTGATTTGTTTAGGCTGGTGCTGTCGTGTACATAAATAAAACGTACAGTGCTGTATTCTTTTGTCAGTGATGGATCTCATCTCTTTTATGTACAGAGTAGAGCTACTGTGTTGTGTTGTCTTCCATTCGTGGCTAGTTAAAAGTGTCCTGATATTAGAATATTTTTTTAATGAACCTGCTTACTTCCATGCAATCAAAAATTGTTGATTTAGTGTATGAATGTATTAAGCTGTGTAGTTGCTTTTGATTTTCTTTTACCATAAGTATGGTGCAAGTCAATATATCTTATCTTTGAAGACCATCATCACCGGGTACATTCATGACCTTCGATATGGTCAATCCTATCTCTGGTAACAATGGAAAGAATTTTATACATATTTCTATGAAAAGTGCTGATTGATCTGGTATCCATAGGTTATTAATTTTAGTGATACAGTAATTGTTTTTTTATAAGAATTTTTTACAACTTTTCTATACCACTGTTTTATCTGTTGTTATTTAAAAATTCTGTCTTAGAGTATAGGATGTAGCAGCCAACATTAGGAACAAGATTCAAAAGTTATCAGGTGTGGATTTGTAATGTATATTTCCTGTACCTCAGCCTGGCAAGTTAATGGACTGCAGTGATGTACAGTACAGGTGCTCCTCTACTTCAGAAAGTTCAACTTACAAACTTTCAGAGATACAAACATCATCACTGAGGGGAGTTACCTGCCAGAACAGGTGTTTAATGTGGATGAGACTGGATTATTTTGAAGAAAGTTCCAGATAGAACAAACATTACCTAAGAGGATAAGAGTGAGCCAGGATTTAAGGCTGTATTAAATGGTATAGCTGTAATAAATATCCACAATCTTTTCATTATTTACAATATGTTTGGTATCTACAAGAGTAAAGTTGGACTTACAAACAATTGGACTTACAAACAAGCCTCAGGAATGTAACTCGTTCGTTAGTAGAGGAGCACCTTTATAGGTATTTTTTGAAATGCCATTTTTCACTTTAGATTTTGAGGTACAAAACTACAGTACTGCAGTTAAGCCACTGAATAAGCTTCCCTTCATAGTTACCTTTGATATTAGTTTGCCATGGAAAATCTCTCCTCATATGCCATTTCCTGTTTTAAGCCTACAGTGAATTACCCAAACTATGGCAGTAGTGAAATCGGACATCTCTGATGTTACCTTCCATAATTCTAATTTATTTGCCCTTATTTTTAAGAATAAGAAACAGGTAATGACAATTCTCAACTGCTTTGATTCATCATCTATTTTACATTATTCATGTCCACTTACCCTTTGCACATTTATTTTTGTTTTTTCTCCTTTGCCCCATTTGTTCATTCTTTACCTTGTCAGATATCTTAATCTCTGATATACAGTAATCTCCCTGTTAACTGAAATCCCCGATCTCTGGAACTCTCTAATACCCGGATTTTAAATCAGGCTGCAAAAATTCCAGCAAATCTCTCTCCAGTCCGGGTCTGCGAACGAGTTTCCGAAGATGAAATCAAGCACATTTTCCGGGAAAAAGTCCAAGAAGGTTCAGAGAAAATCTCTCCAGAGTCTCTCCGTTCTGGGCCTGGTGCATGGGTGGCCTAGTTGCTTGGATCGATTAGTTCATATTTTGCTGCCATTGTAGAAGGTTGCTCCTTTGTTTGCTGTTGTTTTTACATACAATTTGTGCTGTACTACCAGGACACAATCAGCCCAAAATACAGTGTTAAAGCAATATTAAGAACGTAAAAATTTATTTCAATTACATATACTGTACTGAACATTCAGTAAGTGGGAAACACTGGAGCACCTTAGCTTTCATCTTTAAGACATCTTCAGGTCATGAGATTCACTAATCACCCTCCCCGACAATGGATGATCTGATATTGCATCAGGTCAAGTCAGTAACATGGCCCACTAATCCCGCACCCCCACCTCCTCGCAAGTGTTAAGACCTGATTACAGTTACGCATTACATTCAGCTGAGTGGACAGTGTCTGCCTACTCTAGGCTCAAGGTGACAGCATATGCTGGTGAAGACAATATGTACAGTATAGTACAGGTTAGGTATTCCTTTTCCGAAATGCTTGGAGTCGAAAGGGTCTCGGATTTGGGAATATCCTACCCGGGCACAGGTCATCGACCCACAACGGGGCCTGGGGGCGAGAAAATAAGAGTAAAAAGAAATTATAAATAGAAGAGAAAAAGACTAAATTAATCTACACCACGAAGTTGCCCGGAAAATGCAGAACTCACCCAGCGGGGATGAGGCTCAAAACTATGCTCAAAATTCATTTACCTGTATATTTAATTTACAGCATATGGATGCATATAGCCTGCAGGTAGTTTTATGAAATATTTAAAAAAATTTGTATGATATATACATGGTAAGATGTACACTGAAGAATGAGAAAGGTAAGTAACCACTGCCATCTGTTCAGCATCGCCATGATGCCTGACTCTTGAAGTGTTAAGTGGACTGTCTTACTTTTTTATTACACATACCTGTACATACTTAACCTAGTAAAAATTATGATGTACATGTACTATATGCCATATTCAGTGTATTCTCTAATATATATAGAATTAAATAGATTTTTGGATTTTGGAGCATTTCTGATTTGGCAATTTTGGATAAGGGATGCCAAACCTCTAGTAGTATACATTATTTTGTTCACAGTATTAACAATATATTTTACGTGTACAGTAGTGTTTGCATAAATAAATACAGCTCCATGCGAGATGCATCGTTTAGACTGGGGAAAATTTTCCCCAGTGAAGTGGAAAATTCCCTTTTTCGCTGTGACACAGCTCCATTCACGTCTCACATGCCTGTATCATATAGAATATGTTTTTAAATATATTTATTTAAAAACTATTCAGGATTATTTTGGTGATTTTATTTATTTATTTTTTCTAAATTAATTAGAACAGATTTTTAAAAATATATTTATTTAAAAACTACTGTATTCAGGATTATTTCGGAAAAAAAATATGGTGTCTCTAACTTAATTTGAACTGATTTTATAGACTGTGGTTTCAACATTTCTTTATTTTTTTCATAAAAGAATTGAGTCCCATTATTATTATGTGTTGGAATATTTTGTTTAGGGATATTTTATTGGAACAGCCTTGTAGATAATTTATTCAGGATCATTATAATATAAAATTCTTCTAACACAATTAGACCAGATGTTGTGAATGAAAGTTCATACTCTTTTTTGCAAGCTGTAATTGTTTTTACTCTGTCTCGCAGTCTAAATGTAATGGGAGAGTGTTTGTCCATGTGAAATGAGATGTATAATTTTGAGTCGAGAAGAGATGCATAGTTTAAACTCTCAGAAAACTTTACCCAGCTTCCAGAAACATTCTGAGGATGTGGACTAGTATCTGTCTGTACAAGATGTGCAGTTTAGACTCTCGGAAACTTTTCCCAATACCCGGGAAAAAACTCTGGGGATGTGGGATTTTTCAGGTTTGAGAGAGTCATTTCGATCTCGGAAATCTCTCATCCCTGGAAGAACTCTGCACCAATTGTTCCGGCGAACGGGGATATCATATTACTTACTAAATGCTTTTCTCGTTTGGTTTCACTTATCTTAACCAAGTATCCTTTAATTTCTCTTCAACATAGAAAAAAATGGCACAGACATTACCATGCAGACATCTTAACCCTCTCCAGGGCAGGGGTTTCTCTCAGCTGAATAAAATACCTGTGCTGTGCTGCCCTCTAAAAGGTTAAATATAGCTCACTCAATAACTTGCCATCCATTAAAATTCAGGCTGTCTGCAACTCTTCTCAACATTACTCTTGATTCATCCTCTTTCCTAGTGCAGTCTTTTGGAGGTACAATTGTTATATTTAAATTATTTAATTACCAAAGCAAGTGAGATATTAGATATTTAGAAGTACAGTAGTTTACGTGTCATTGGATTGTAAGTTATTGTCTCATGACAAGGCTTTAATAGATGATGATAGAGCTATAGTATGAAGTAGGATTAAAGATGTGCTTTCTATCTGTACAGTAGTTTAATATGATTATGTTCAGTCATTGGGCTGGGCAAGGTTTATATGGTGTACTTGGCTGGAGTTTGCTTTCAGCAGGTCATATTGTATTTAATGCAATATTAAAGTACTGTACTTTATTTTATCTTTATAGTAACCTTTGCAGAAGAATTATGGTTGCAAAATCTTAAAAAAATGTAATTCCTTATTAACCGAACAATAAAATTTATGGAGTGGGGATTTGTTGTTTGTGGGCTCTAAATATAGGAAAAGACTTTAAAAAGTATGTAAGGTGCAGGGGAACAAGCAGCTAGTCGTCTGTAGTAAGTTAAAAAATATATATAATAATTTCTCATTGCTACAGCACAAATCACCACGAAACAAAGATAATTTCATAGTATTTTGTAATTATAGAGAGGTGGAAATCAAGAGATGGTCGTAGTGAAATTTAAGAGATTGTCCCTTCTTTATGGTTGGGAGTTTGACTGAGTTGGTAACACCGAGCATCCCCAAAAGCCCAGATATTTTAAAGTACAGTACTCCTTGTATCACCTTCTTGGTCACTATCCATGAGTTCTCCCAGTACAGTAATCTTCTATAAATTTTCTAGGTAAATCCATGAACCACCCTGTTACTATATAAAGTAGAACATGAGACATCAGATATTAGATAGTGTAGTCTTGATGGTTCTAAAAAAACAAAAATAAATAAAATTACCTGAAAATTCTGAACTCCGTTTTTTTTACATCATTTGGCTATACAGTACATGCAATAAAATATGATCACTTAACATTCATAGCTTTAACTGTAGATAGGCTTTGAAATTGGCTGATCATTAAGGTGTAGTATTGTAATATCTGTTGTGTAGATAATACTTGTACAGTAAGTGTAGTTGTGGACAATTTAAATACAGTGGTCCCTCGATTAACGAATGGTTCAATTAACAGAATTTTGGTTTACGAATTAGCTCCCATAAGGATTTTTAGTTCCATTAACGAACAAAACTTCGATTAGCGACAGCCTTACAAGAAACACACTTTGTTGTGCGCATCAGCTGATCGGCTAGTCTGCCAATACAGTAATTGGTTCTATGTTTACATTCGTTTCCAGTGGCGTAAATATCAAGAAAGTTGTGCTCTTGAATATTTTAGCATTTTTTATTTTAAAATTATTGGTCATTCTTAAATTTAGTTAACATAATGATAATATATACAGTACAGGGAACAGTTTTTGTTTGCCCTTCAGCTGATCGAATCGCCCACAAATGCTTCTCAGTTTAACTTTGTTTACAGTGGAGTGACCATCAAGTTTGTTGGTCTCTTCAATATTTTATCATTTCTATAGTAAAATTATTGGTCATTCTGAAATTTAGTTAACATATTGATAATATACAGTGCAGAAAATATTATGAAACACGAAGAAGGCATTAGAACCAATGCACTCTGTACAGAATATGGCATGCCATCATCGACTGCCTCTACAATCAGCTGTTTGATATGTAAACAAAGCTGCTGGAATACGGCATGCACACCTCAAAGTAGGTTAAAATACAGTATTCTATTGTTTTTTATTTATTATTGTACAGTATACTGTACAGTACAGTACTGTTTTTAGTTTATATTTAAAGTTTTGTTAATTCTATTACCGGTGCACAGTACTTTGTATGTATACTTTTTCTGTGAGTTGGAACCAATTACCTAATATCCCATTGAAATAAGAGATTCAGTTAACGAAATATTCGGTTAACAACCGACTATGTGGAACCAATTGTGTTTGTTAATCGAGGGACCACTGTAATTAGATAAATTAAGCAGTATAATGAATTGTAGATCACCACTGGTTATTTGTATGTAACATAATATCCACACCACACATCTTTTGTTAGCTTGCTGTGGGTAGGGTGTTTGTAAATACTGTACAGGTATCCTTCACTTAACGAATGGGTTAGGCCCGTGGAAAACCATTCAGTAGGTGGATTTTCGTATCTCACGCTGACTACATAGCGTCAAAGCTGGGACGCTGCCTCTGCTAACCTTTAGCGACAGGGCTCCCACACTCCAATCCCCCTCCCACTCCTCCACTCAGTGAGCTAACTCTCGCACACAAAAAAAAATGTTTATTACTTCTATGTTTTTACTTGATGATAGTTATTTCGTTTATCTTTTTTGCACATTGTGTATGAAGGATTGTGTGTTCATGTAACTCATTAAAAAAATTAAGAAAAGTTAAGTACAGTACATATACTCAAAATTATTAGTTGAAAAGTAATTATAACTGAGCTCCCTACTCTGCCTGGTAACTCTTGTCGGTGCGTGAAAAATGTTTATTCCCTCTATGTGTGTGTGTACTTACCTTTAATGTAATCAGCACACGGGGCCCCCATAATTTTCTATTTAAAGGATACATGGAGACTACTATATTAATTGGATGAAGCAGAGGAGGAGACAGGGCTGGGTGGGTCATCAATGTCGCTTTCTTCAGACAGTTTTATGTGCAGTGGAAACGTTCTGGTTGAAGGTATCGGATTATCTTTAGGGAGTGAAGAGGCAGCACTGGTGGGCGTGAGGAGACAGCAATGGGGGACTTCTTAAAATAGATGTCCAATTTAGACTGCACATTTCATATATATAT